AGTCCCAGCACCCACAAGAGCAGCTCACAACTGTTTAACTCTTGTTCTAGGGAATCCAGTGCCCTCATACAGACATATCTGTAGGAAAAACAGCAATGTACATAAAATAAAAAATAAATTATTAAAAAAAGATACAAACCTACAATATCCACTTCTCAAGGGGCTAAAGGCTAGAGGGTTGCTAGACAAAAAAAAGAGAAAAAAAATCTCAGTTTTTAACAATGCGTGGTGTTGGATGCTTGTAATCCCAGTACTTGGGAAATGGAAGCTAGAGAATCAAGAGTTCAAGGCCAGCCTCAGCTGCACAGCAAGTTAAAGGCCAGACTGGGCTAAATGAGACCCCCACCTAAAAAATAATTCTAGAAAACATAGCAGCAAACTAAAGCAATATATATATATATATGTATATATACACATATATATATAAATTTATTATTTTAGCTGGGCAGTGGTGGCACACGCTCTTTAATCCCAGCACTCGGAAGGCAGAGGCAGGGGGATCTCTTGAGTTTAAGGCCAGCCTGGTCTACAGAGCAAGTTCCAGGAAAGCTAGGGTTGTTACACAGAGAAACCCTGCATCAAAAACAAAACAACAACAAAAAAGATTATTTTATGTGTATTGGTGTTTTGCCTGCATGTATGTCTTTATGAGGATTTCAGATCTGTGTGAGGACCTGGAGTTATAGACAGTAGTGAGCTGTCATGTGGATGCTGGAAATTGAACCTGGGTCTTCTGCTCTTAACTGTGGCGCCATCTCTCTAGCCCCTATAGCAATATTTTGTGTGTGTATGTGTGTGTTTACTACATGAGGACATGTATATGGGTGTGTAGTGTGAGTGCACACATGTAGAGGCCACACCTTTGTGTGTGTTACATGCAGGTATGCATGTGTGCTGGCCACACCTTTGTGTGTGTTGTATGCAGGTATGCATGTGTGCTGGCCACACCTTTGTGTGTGTTGTATGCAGGTATGCATGTGTGCTGGCCACACCTTTGTGTGTGTTGTATGCAGGTATGCATGTGTGCTGGCTATACCTTTGTGTGTGTTATATGCAGGTATGCATGTGTGCTGTCCACAGCTTTGTGTGTGTTACATGCAGGTATGCATGTGTGCTGGCCACAGCTTTGTGTGTGTTATATGCAGGTATGCATGTGTGCTGGCCTGCCAGGCACATATACGATACAGACATTAAAATGTTTTCCTCAATCCAATCACTTCTTTTTATTATTATTATTATAGATAGGGTCTCACATGTAGTTCTGGCTATCCTGGCACTCAATAATATAGATCAGACTGGCTTCAAACGCACAGAGCTCCACCTGCCTCTGCCTCTCAAGGGCTAGGATTTAAGGAATGAGCCATTACACCTAGTTTCTACTTTATTTTCTGAGACAGAACTCACAGAACTAGGACCTTGCTGCTTTGGCCGCAGGCCTGGAATCTGCCAGTCAAGGTCCCCAACCCCTGAGGTTACAGAAGCACATTGCCATGCCAGGCTTGTATGTGGGTGCAGAGGATCCAAAATCAGGGCCTCCTTGTGCTTGCAAAACGACTTTACACAGTGAACCATCTCACAAACTCTCTACCTTGGTTTTAGAGACAGGGTCATACTATGTGACTTTGGCTGGCCTCTGCCTCCCTACTGCTGGGATTAAAGGTGTGCACCACCACACCCAACCTAAAACAGTTGTGTGTGTGTGTGTGTTCTTGAGAGTGTACTTCTGGAAGTCACAAAACTTGTAGTTCGTTCCTTCCACAAATGTCCCAGAGATCAAACTCAGGTCATCAGGGATAGTGTAGCAAGTTCCTTTAACCACTGAGCAGTCTCACCGAACTACAGGGCCTCATCTGGCTTCTCATGCTTTTGGTGCAAGCAAGCACTTTACTAACAGCCGTCACCCCCGTTCACTGTATCCTTTAATACTAACAGCCGTCACCCCCGTCCACTGTATCCATCAATGCTAACAGCCGTCACCCCCATCCACTGTATCCATCAATGCTAACGGCCGTCACCCCCATCCACTGTATCCATCAATGCTAACGGCCGTCACCCCCGTCCACTGTATCCATCAATGCTAACGGCCGTCACCCCCGTCCACTGTATCCATCAATGCTAACGGCCGTCACCCCCGTCCACTGTATCCATCAATGCTAACGGCCGTCACCCCCGTCCACTGTATCCATCAATGCTAACGGCCGTCACCCCAGTCCACTGTATCCTTTAAAAATAAAAAAATAAAAATTTTACATGACCGAGTGTTTTGCTTGTATGTATGTCTGAGCACCACATAGGTGCCTGTTGTCCCCTGGTTGCCAAGAGTGTCAGCTCCTGGGAGTTACAATTGTGAGCCGCCATGTGGATGCTGAGAATTGAATCCTGGTCCTCTGAAGAACAGCCAATGTTCCTAACCACTGAGCCATCTCTCCAGCCTCCTAATGTATTCTTTTCCTAAATTTCCTAAATTTGTTTTCTCTCTTTGTCTCTCCCTTTCTCTTTCTGTGGGGGTGGGGGCAATCTCAGGTGTCATCCTCAGGAAATCCACCCACCACCTTTGAGACAGAACCTCATTGTTCCAGAATTTGACAAAGGGAACCCTAGGAATCCTTCTTTCCCCTTCCTGGGGGAAACAAATGACCACCACCATGCTGGGCTTATTTTTATGCAAATACTTTATCCATGCAGCCATTTTTAGGCCCTCATCAATGTATTCTTGATGACTAAGCATTAGAGAGAGACTGAAGAGTTCTACCAAGCCTCAGCATAGCAAACATGGCACCCAACAGGGTTTGCCTGTTATCCTTCTCCCCCTTGCTAAAACCGTTAGTTTACAGTCCTAAAGCTAACTTCCAAAATTCATTCCCTTATTTGGCCACTAACTCATTCCTGAGACAAAACATCAAAATCCAGCAATCAATCAAGCTGGGCGGCTGTGGAGCTCGCCTTTCTTTAATCCCAGCACTTGAGAGGAAGAGGCAGGAGGATCTCTGTGAGTTCCTGGTTTACAGAGCTAGTTCCAGGACAAGCTCCACAGTTACACAGAGATACCCTGTCTTGGAGAACAAAACAAGAACAATAACAAAAAAGACATAAAACAAGCAAGCAAACAAACCAACCAAGGATCTAGCAATCAAAATTCATTATTTGGCTAGTATGTCCAATCAGGACTTACCAACTCACCCTAGCACAGACTCTCCCAGCCCCCCCCCCCCCTTCCCTTTAAAAACCAACTCCTGGGCCAGGCAGTGGTGGCGCACACCTGTAATCCCAGGAAGACAGAGGCAGAGGCAGGCGGATCTTTATGAATTTGAGGCCAACCTGGTTTACAAGAGCTAGTTCCAGAACAGGAACCCCTGTTCTGGGGTTACACAGAAAAACCCTGTTTCGACAAACAAAAAACAAAACAAAACAAAACCCCGACTCTTGGAAAAAACACCTGCTTGTTGGTTGCTTTCTGCAGCTACTGCTGCCTTTGCAGCCTCCCCCACCCCACTGGCCCCTCTGGAATAATAAATCACCTTTGTGTTGAGAGTTTGCTGTCTGGATATGTCCTGTACCAATTGGGGTGAGGGTCCTTCCCAACAGAGACACTTCTATTGGCTGGTAAACACAGAACAAACAGAAAAAGCTACAATACTTTGTAGTTGCTACACAATACTTGAAATTGATTTTTTTTTGTTTTAATTTTTAGTGACAGGGCTGGTATGTAGGCCAATTGGTCTTGAACTCTCAAACATTCGCCTACCTCTGCTTCCCAAAAACTAGGATTAAAGGCCTGTGCACTTCGTGTAACTCAAATGCAACTTAAATTTCTGATAGTTTGGAAAGGGTAGGGGAATGACCTTGTCTCGAAAAAACAAAACAGTACTCAAAAGAAAACGTACGTCAAACCTTATATTTTGCAGTAAAAGTTTAAACTGGGTGGTGGTGGCACACACCTTTAATCCCAGCACTCAGGAGGCAGAAGCAGGCGAATCTCTATGAGTTTGAGGCCAGCTTGGCCTACAGAGTTACAGAACAGGCTCCAAAGCTACAAAGAAACCCTATCTCAAAAAAAAAAACAAAAAAAACAAAACAAAACAAAAAAAAACCCCAAAACAAAACAAAACGCTTAAAATGCAAGTGAACAATTGTCACAAATCAGTTGTGGCTCTTTTATTCTGGGTTTTTAAAAGGTCAAACATTTCCTCCCACCCTCTAATAACTTGGAATTTACATTAGCTTTGTAGATTTACAGAGGGTTTTAACTGGCAAAGTCTAACTTAATCCATGGAAACCACATTAATATAAGCAGTCATTCATTCAATCAGTGAAGGTTTTGAGAGGATTATTTGATACGGAAGTCCAAATAGTAATAAAAAGGAGATTCATTTTTAATGCTTCTGCTCCTTGAAGTTTTCTAGCTGTTTTGTTTTTTGTTTTAATCACCCTTGGTTCCCCCCCTCCCCTGCCCCCCCCCCGCAGGATCGTTGTACCACTTTTCAGTATCAGTGTCGAAAAAGGAGTCTGCAGTATGTCACAGTCCAATTAACTACGTGCCCAGAAACCTGAAGTAGAAGCAAAGAGGTTTCCACCAAAGAGGTTTATAATGAGCGACGGCATTCAACCCAATTCAACGCTGATCTTTCCAGCTTCCGTACCGCCCTCGAATCGGGCTGCCAGCAAGTCCCAAAGGCGAACGCATTTTAACTGCCCCCAAACGAGAATCCATGCCATTCACTTCAGCTTCTAGAGCTCTAAGATTTACCCAGGGGGCTTTGTCTTGAATCCATGGCAAAAGCGCATTTTTATACACACTTGCTTTGAGAGCATGGTACGCATATTTTCCTCTTATAAAGATAACACGAACTGTTCACGGTGGCCGCGAGAACTCAGGTTTCCTAGCACCCAAACTGCAGCTCCGGTGACTCCTCCCCGTAGCAAGGACGGAGGCAAAGGACTACAGAGCGGAGGATTCTGGGGGAAGGAAATGACATCAAGCGCAAAGCATGCTGGGCTCAGGCGGGCCGACTCAAGGCGGGTCGGCGGCGTGCAAGCCTGGTGGGGTTGTAGCGATGCGTGTCTGCGGCGTTTTCTCGGGTTGTCTGGAACCAGCAGCGTTGCTAGCCCCGCGGAAATTCTGATCTAGAGAGAGTAGGTGGGAATCCGACAATTCCGCATCAGTTATGCCTATACGGGGTTTAGAGCAGATCCTTTTATCTAAGGAAAACAGCTGAGGATTTGAGTATCATCCAGAGTTCAAAGCCAGATTGAAAGCCGTATCTGGAATTGGGAGAGCAGGGTAAAGGGACATGCTAGAGGAGTTTCAGAATTGCTTCTGCGGCCATCGGTATTACCGTAGCTCAGGCTAAATTATAAATAATTTTTCTTTTTCCGGATATGGTAAAAAACAAAACATCCTCAAGAATTCTCCGGTTACTTATAGTAAAAATGGGCAGTCTGTTGTTCCTTTTGAGACTGGAGATCCGCACTGTGTTAACCAGGCTGGTCTCAGACTTATCTCAGTGTTACTAGTAGGTAGGACTGTAGGTGTAATGTAAACTACTAAACCAGCTCTATGTATTAGTACTTACTTGTATTAAGAAATTTGTTAACCAGGACTACACAGAAAAAAAAAGAAAGACAGAAAAAAAGAGAGAAACTTGAGGCAAATTGCAGACGTCAGAAGGGAGATTAGAGGTTAAGATATTTGCTTGTGTGGAATATGCATAGTGATTAACTCAAATGGTTTTAGATCTAGCCAGCCGGTAACCATGAGTGAATGGATGAAGAAAAGCCCCTTAGAATGGCAAGACTACGTTTATAAAGAAGTCAGAGTGGTAGCCAGTGAGAAGAAGGAGTATAAGGGCTGGCTTGTGACTACAGACCCAGTCTCTGCCAAGTGAGTATGCACCTTATTTCTGGAAGTGAGAACCCCAGGTACTACCTAGATATCCAGTGTTAGAAGACAGGTTATTAAAGGCAGGTTATTTGCACATGAGAAGTGCTGTTTTACTGTGTGTTACTGTAGCAAACTAGACAGCTATAGGAATAGAAAATAGACATTCTCTGGTGGCGCAGGCCTTTAATCCCAGCACTCGGGACGCAGAGGCAGGTGGATCTCTGGGAATTCGAGGCCAGCCTGGTCTACAAGAGCTAGTTCCAGGACAGGCTCCAAAGCTACAGAGAAACCCTGTCTCGAAAAACCAAAAAAAATAAAAGAATAAATAGCTGGGGTTGTAGGCCTTTGCCACTAAGGTCTGTCCTGGGAGTTCAGACTGAGCTTCAAAATTATTGTCAGAGATTTGTTTGTAGTATATTAAGCAGTGCTGCCGTATTCCTAGTGTTGTGTCCCTTCCGTCTGTCTTGCCTGAGTGGGGTGTGGGTGTTTGCTAGGGATTAAACCTAGGGTCTCCTACGTGGAGATGTGTGCTCTACCATCGGTTCTGACCCACTTTCCACTTCCAGGCTCGATGATATGACTTTGGTTTTAATTTTTAGTTTTTAAAATTTGCTTTAATCCCTTTAATTTTATGCTTTGTTGTTTTCTTTGGTCTACTTTGCATATTTAAAGTTTACTTTTTTTTAACAGGTTTATGTGTATGTGGTATATGTATGCTTTTTTTTTTAATATTTATTCATTTATTATGTATACAATATTCTTTCTACGTGTATGCCTGCAGGCCAGAAGAGGGCACCAGATCTCATTACAGATGATTGTGAGCCACCATGTGGTTGCTGGGAATTGAACTCAGGACCTTTGGAAGAGCAGACAATGCTCTTAACCACTGAGCCATCTCTCCAGCCCTATGTATGCTTTTTGTTTTGTTTCTCTCTCTCTCTCTTTTTTTTTTTTTTTTTTTTTAAGGACAGGATTTCTCTGTATAGCTTTGGAGCTTGTCCTGGAACTAGCTCTTGTAGACCAGGCTGGCCTTGAACTCATGGATCTCTGATCCGTGCTCCCCCTACCTCTGCCTCTCGAGTGCTGGAATTAAAAGCTAAAGGTGTGTGCCACCACCGCCAGGAATGTAGACATTTTCAAGTCTGATATGTGTGCAGGTAAGCATGGACATATGTGCATGAGTAGATAGGGCCTGAGATTGATATCCACTGTCTTCCTCAGGTACTCTCCTTCTGTATGGAGAGGCAGAGTTTCTCACTATGCCTAGTCCAACTGGCCACCTTGCTATAACTTTTTTTTTTTTTTTAATCTTCATTTGGCCTGTTCTGGTGGTGCACTCTCGCACTTGGGAGACAGAGGCCAGCGGATCCCTGTGAATTCAAGGCCAGTCTGATCTACAAAACAAGTTCCAGGACAGTCAGAGCAACACACAAAAGTCTCACCTCCCCCCTCAAAACAAAAAAACAAAACAAACAGGGCTGGAGAGATGGCTCAGTGCTTAAGAGCACTGCCTGTTTTTCCAAAGATTCTGAGTTCAGTTCAATTCCCAGCAATCACATGGTGGTTCACAACCGTCTGTAATAAGATCTGGTGTCTTCTTCTGGCCTGCAGGCATACATTCAGACAGAACACTATATACATAGTAAATAAATAAATCTTTAAAAACAAACAAACAAAAAAACCCAAAACCCGCTTTGTTTGGAAGTGGCTAGCAAACCCCAGTACCTTACAAACGCTTAGTATGCCCTCTGCCATTGAACTACAGACACTTCAGCCCCACCCTGACCCGCTCACACTATAGCTACTACATTAGCTGTGTCTTGTGCTGATTCTCTAGGCAAAATGTTTGGATGTTTAGGATGTCAGTGAATGCTTGTGGAATAAGTAAAAGCATTTGAGACAGTTCGCTCTTGTTCAGGTGACCTGTTTGGGTTGGTGATGTCCCATTGCTTCTTTATAGTTCTTGAGGTTTTTCTTTTACAAATCTGCTCTGAACTTATTTTTCTTTAAAGTATTGTCCTCGTGACCTTCCTTGAAGATGGCAGCTTGTCTGTGACTGGAGTTATGGGGCATTCTGTGCAGACTGTGGAAGTTGTGAGTGAAGGGGACCACAAAGTGAGGGAGAAGCTGATGCGCTTGTTCACATCCGTCGATTGTGAAGGATACAGCCCCGAGGATCTGGAAAAGCGAAAGAACAGCCTGAAGAAATGGCTGGAGAAGAACCACATCCCTGTCACCGAGCAGGGAGATGCACCGAGGACACTGTGTGTGGCTGGGGTTCTGACTGTCTACCCACCCTATGCTCCAGAAAATTGCAGCAGCTCCAACGAGATCATTCTGTCCCGCATTCGGGACCTTATTCAAGGACATCTCTTGGCCTCCCAGTGAGAGGCCGAGCCTGTGGGCTGGCTTACTCCAGAGGACTCCACTGTTTGGTTTTGTGTTAATTGTTTCTATTGTAAGTTGATGATATTATAGGAGTTCAGAAGCACAGTGGGGTGTGTGTGTGTTAAGTTTTTGTGTAGGTCAGATTGGATGAGTAGACCTGAGTGCTGATTTCCCTGGGAAGTAAAGGCCCAAAAAGAGCATCCCGTGCACTGAAATAGAAGCAGGGAAGTAGTACTTGTGAGGGGTTTTTCTGTGGCGCTGATAAATGCTCTTTTTGTAAAGCAGGAATGCTTTTGAATAGACAGAACAATGTTAAATAGCCAGGTGGTGGCACATGCCTTTAATCCCAGCACTCAGGAGGCAGAGGCAGGCGGATCTTTGTTTGACACCAGCCTGGTCTATAAGAGCTAGTTCCAGGACAGGCTCCAAAGCTACAGAGAAACCCTGTCTCAAAAAAAAAAAAAAAATGTTAAGTGAATTTATAAATTTAAATTTCAGTATAAGATATTAAGGTAAAAATCACAGTCTCAGGTCCCTTTGACTAACCAGACCTCTGTGTTATTAAAATACTGGTCTTTGAGATTGAAAACAACACAATATTTGAATTAGAGTAATTTGGTTTGGTTATGGCTTGTGCCCCCTACAGCTCTTGTGATAGGAATTTCTAACTTTAAGATGAGACAAGGGGCTACAGATAGCTCAGCAGTTAGGTGCACTCGCCATTCTTCCAGAGGACGTGGGTTCAGTTCCCAGCACCCACATGGCTTCTCACAACTGTCAGTAACTCCAGTTCCGGGGACCTAACATACATGTAGGCAAACACTAATGTATGTAAAAGGAAATAAACCATTAAGAAAACAGAGGTGAGATATAACGGGAAATCTTTAGGCAGGCGGATCTCTGAGTTCAAGGCCAGCCTGGTCTACAAAGTGAGTTCCAAGACAGCCAGGGCTGTCACACAAAGAAAAGCTGTCTCAGAACAAAAGAAGAAAAAAGTTAACATGCTCCAGCTCTGACTTAATAGAGCCGATGCCAGATTACTGTCCTGTACCTCCAGCACTGAGCTGTTTCTCTTCATAAATAGCCCATTGCAGGTATTCGGTTGATTTTAGTGACTCAAAGATGACTGATATGGAGGATATTTTGTTTTGTTTTTATTTATTTATTTTTTCCATGATATTTATTGAGCTCAACATTTTTCCCTGCTTCCCTCCCTGCCTCCCTCCCCCCCCCTTCAATCCACCCCCAAGGTCCCCAGCTCCCAATTTACTCAGGAGATCTTGTCTTTTTATACTTTCTACTTCCCATGGAGATTAGATCAATGTAAGTCTCTCTTAGTGTCCTCATTGTTGTCTAAGTTCTCTGCGATTGTGGTTTATAGGCTGGCTTTCTTTGCTTTATGTTTAAAAACCACCTTTGAGTGAGTACATGTGATAATCATCTTTCTGTATCTAGGTTACCTCACTCAAAATAATGTTTTCTAGTTCCATTCATTTTCCTGCAAAATTCAAACTGTTATTTTTTTTTCTGCTGTGTAGTACTCCATTGTGTAAATGTACCACATTTTCCTTATCCATTCTTTGGTCAAGGGGCATTTAGGTTGTTTTCAGGTTCTGGCTATGACACACAAAGCTGCTATGAACATAGTTGAGCACATGTCCTTGTGGCACGATTGAGCATCCTTTGGATATATACCCAAAAGTGGTATTACTGGGTCTTGAGGAAGATTGTTAACTAATTTTCTGAGAAATCGCCACACTGACATCCAAAGGGGCTGTACCAGCTTGCATTCCCACCAGCAGTGTAGAAGTGTTCCCTTTTCCCCACAACCTCTCCAGCATAAGTTGTCATCAGTAGTTTTGATCTTGGCCATTCTTACAGGTATAAGATGGAATCTCAGAGTTGATTTGCATTTCTCTGATGACTAAGAATGTTGAACATTTCCTTAAGTGTCTTTCAGCCATTTTAGATTCCTCTGTTGAGAGTTCTCTGTTTAGGTCTGTACTCCATTTTTTTTAAATTGGATTATGTGATCTTTTGGTGTCCAATTTCTTGAGTTCTTTGTATATTTTGGAGATCAGATCTTTGTCTGATGTGGGGTTAGTGAAGATCTTTTCCCATTCTGTAGGCTGTTGTTTTGTCTTGTTGACCGTGTCCTTTGCTTTACCGAAGCTTTTCAGTTTCAGGAGGTCCCATTTATTAATTATTTCTCTCAGTGTCTGTGCTGCTGGGGTTCTATTTAGGAAGTGGTTCCCTTGTGCCAATGCGTTCAAGTGTACTTACCACTTTCTCTTCTATAAGGTTCAGTGTGACTGGCTTTATGTTGAGGTCTTTGATCCATTTGGACTTGAGAGGATTTTTTTTTTATGGTTGAAAGTTTTGGCTATTGGTAAAAATTTTTTTTTTTTTTTGAGACAGGGTCTCACTATGTAGCTTTGGCTATCCTGGAGCTCACTATGTAGTTCAGGTTGGCCTCAAACTCACAGAGATCCACCTGCCTCTGCCCCCTAAGTGCTGGGATTTAAAGGTATGGACCACCATGTCCTCTCTTTTTTCTTTCTGAGGAAAAGATTTATGTTCTATTTATGTGTATTTGGGTGCCTGTGTGGGCGTACACCATGTGTGTACATGCATGGAGGCCAGAAGAGGGTGTCAGATCTAGAGCTGGATCAGGTGGTTGTGAGTGGCCTGCTGTGGGTGCTGGGTCCCCTGTAAGTGTAGTATTCTTAGCCCATTGAACTGTTCCTGCAGTCCTGAAACTTTTATAAGGCTGGCCTAGAGCTCAATGAACCTTTTGCCTCGGGTCAGGCATACACCATCACACAGGCAAGATTTGTATCTCTAACACTCTCCTAGTGGCCTTTTATTTTTTTTTAATATTTATTTATTATGTATACAATATTCTGTCTGCGTGTATGCCTGCGGGTCAGAAGAGGGCACAAGACCTGACTACAGATGGTTGTGAGCCACAATGCGGTTGCTGGGATTTGAACTCAGGACCTTTGGAAGAGCAGGCAATGCTCTTAACCGCTGAGCCATCTCTCCAGCCCAGCCTTTTATTTTTTTTAATGTTTTTTTGATTAAGGTTTATTAAATAGCCCTGGCTGATTTTGACTCTCCCTTGTCCTCACTATCTGCTTGCCTCAGCCCCCTGAGTGCTGGGATTATAAGTGTGGGCCACCACACCTTGCTTTTCCTCACAGCCTTTAAGAACTGTCTAAAAGCAAAATTCAGTGACCAAAACTCTTTAATTGAGGAAGGAGAATAGGAAATAACCAACTTGATCATGAAGATGATTCTGAGCAGGTGACGCCTTTGGAAGGTTTCTGTATAGACAGGAAACTAGCCACAGCATCACTCAGGCATGGCCTTGGCTTGGAGACAGATTCTGGGGCTTTAGTACTGGTTAGATAGATTTGCTGTCAAACTAGTCTATTGGGCACATGCTGTTTCTTGGCAACTGAATCCTTTGTTTAAATAATCTGAGTGCTGGAGAGGGTAAATGATCCTCTCTATTTTGGAAACCACCTGCTCCCAGCGCCTCAAGATGCTCCCAGAGAGGTTTGCTCACCTGGTTCTGACCCTTCCTCAAGGCTGTCGGTTGCAGTTTCAGGTTCTGAAGAGGTACTCTCCCAAAGCTGGCTGCGTTTCCTGTTGGTTCTGGGTGACAGCCAGGGCTGTCTTTGAACATGATATCAACAATACTTTTTAAAAAGCAAAAGACCTGGGCTGGAGAGATGGCTCAACGGTTAAGAGCATTGCCTGCAGCCGGGCGGTGGTGGCGCACTCCTGTAATCCCAGCACTTGGGAGGCAGAGACAGGCGGATCTCTGTGAGTTCGAGGCCAGCCTGGTCTACCAAGGGAGTTCCAGGACAGGCTCCAAAGCTACAGAGAAACCCTGTCTCGAAAAACCAAAAAAAAAAAAAAAAAGAGCATTGCCTGCTCTTCCAAAGGTCCTGAGTTCAATTCCCAGCAACCACATGGTGGCTCACAACCATCTGTAATGAGGTCTGGTGCCCTCTTCTGGCTAACTGTATACATAACTAATAAATAAATTTTTAAAAAAAAGCAAAAGACTTACTTTCGCTGGAGAGATGACTCAGTGGTTAAGAGCGTGTACTGCTCTTCTGGAGGACCTGGGTTTGAGTCCCAGCACCCACAGCTGGCACACAGTCAGCTGTAACTCCAGGTCCATCTAACACTGGCTGTGGGGCACCTGCACTCACAGGCACACCCCCACATACACAGAACGTAAAATAGGAAAATTAAATCCTTAAGGCTTTCTGGCACTCATTCAGCTTTAAATTTTTATTTATTTTTTAATTTAAATTATTTTGGTTTTTTTTTTTGAGACTGTTCTGTTTTTTGTTTTTGTTTTGTTTTTTGTAGTTCTGGCTGTTCTGAAACTCACTATGTAGACCAGGCTATCCTTGAATTCAAAGAGATCTGCCTGCCTTTGTCTCCCAAGTACTGGGATTTTTAGGCCTGGTTTGAATTTTTTGAAAAATTCTTTTCAGAAGCAAAGTTTGTAGTCATTTCTTCCCATACAGGGTTTGTCTGATTTCCTAAATATCTCCATTGTTTCTTTCTTTTCTTTTTCTTTTTTTTTTTTTTAGAAGAGTAGACATGGGCATCTTATTTATTTATTTATTATGTATACAATATTCTGGCTGTGTGTATGCCTGCAGGCCAGAAGAGGGCACCTGACCCTATTACAGATGGTTGTGAGCCACCATGTGGTTGATGGGAATTGAACTCAGGACCTCTGGAAGAGCAGGCAATGCTCCTAACCTCTGAGCCATCTCTCCAGCCCTCTCCATTGTTTCTTAAAGACAGTATGGCTAAAATAGATTTTTCCCAAAATTAAATTTTTTTAATTATTGGAGCTGTCAGGTGACGTCCCACCAAGGCTGATGACCTTCGTTCCATAGGGTGGAAGCAGAGACTTGACTCCTGCAAGAACCCCACACCCAATAAATCTAAAAATAAAATTGTTCAAAAATTAGAAGCCTTTACAGCCAACTGTTAACTTCAAGGGTATTGATGGAGGTGTGTGGTACTTGGAAGCAGATTGTGGGATGCAAATTCATGCCTAGAACTTGGGAAAATCAGCATATTGAGGGTCAAGTTAAACATATTGTTTCTACTTCCAATTATAGTTGATTTTCTAGAATATTATAAAATTAGAAGATTTTGTTTGCTTGTTTGATGAAAAACGTCCAGGCCTGGGCAGATGGCTAAGCTAGTAACGTGCCTGTCACACAAGTGTCAGGACCCAGTTTGGGGACTCTGGGATCCGTGTGTGATGTGGAGACACGAACCTACAACCCTAGTCCTGGGTTGCTGCGTCAGGCAGAACCAACACTCGCTGGCTAGGTGAAATGGCAAGTTCCAGGTTTAATGGTAGATCTTGTCTTGAAAATTAAGGTGGGGGTGGGAGAGATGGCTCAGCGGTTAAGAGCACTTGCTGCTTTTCCAGAGAACCCACAGCAGTGGCTTACAGCTGCCTGTAACTCTCAGAACAAGGGTTCTGATGCCCTTCTCTGGCCTCCTCGGCACCTGGGCAACGTGGTACACATTCACATGTTCAGGTACATCCATAACAACGTGGTACATATTCACATGTTCAGGTACATACATAGCAACGTGGTACACATTCAAATATTCAGGTACATTCATAACAACGTGGTACACATTCAAATATTCAGGTACATCCATAACAACGTGGTACACATTCAAATATTCAGGTACATACATAACAACGTGGTACACATTCAAATATTCAGGTACATACATAGCAACGTGGTACACATTCAAATATTCAGGTATATACATAGCAACGTGGTACACATTCAAATATTCAGGTATATACATAACAACGGGGTACACATTCAAATATTCAGGTACATGCATAGCAAATACATTTTTAAAATATGTAAGATGGAAAAGTGACATTCTGAGTCAACCTCTGACCTCAGAACATGCCTCTCTCGTACACATGTGCATGTACCACATCCCACAAACATGTCACCGAGAAGTGATTTCCATGGAGTTTCATCACCCTCATTTATTATTTCTTTGTTTCTTTTTCTTTTCTCTCATGGTTCTTTTTTTTCCTTTTTTTTTTTTCTTGAGATAA